TGGTGATGTGTGTTGGTGTTGTGGTAGTTTGTGGTGGGGATGTGATACTTGTGGTGAGAATTTGTGGTGATATGTGGTGGTAGTGGTGATGTATGGTGGTAGTGATGTGATAATGGTGTGTGGTAATGGTTGTGTGATAGTGGTGGTGTGTGGTAATGGTTGTGTGATAGTGGTGGTGTGTGGTAATGGTTGTGTGATAGTGGTGGTGTGTGGTGGTGGGATGATGGCCACGCAAGAGACTTCACCTCCTAAATGAGAGAAAAACTTTCCCCTTATAATCCAACTTATATATGACTGAGGCTACGAAGACCTGCCTGATGGAGGAGACTGTGGCATGAGGGACACGAACGAGGAATGAGAGTCCATCTATATGAGGGGAATAAAAAAAAAAAACCCTCACTCATACTCCAGGTTTTATATGACAGGAGAGCTATAGAGAGCTGCCTGCTGGTGGTGATGATGGTGGTGGTGGCATGAGAGCCGTGCATGAGAGCTTCTGCTGCGTGAGGGAGAAGAGTCCGGGCCGCACGGAGTTATTGATTCCCTTCGTGGTATTCGGCGGGACTGGCGGGGGGCCAAGAGGGAGACGCCCGGAAAATAACCCTTGCATGAAAAACTCGACTTGTGTGCCGGGGTGGAGGCTAAAGATGGGGAGGTGGTGGAGTTAGTGAGGCAATCTGTTACCCCCAACAGGAGAGCGCGAGGCTTCTTCCTGCCCGGGACACAAGTGTTGCCTGTGAGGGGGCGAGGGTATTGCCTGTGAGAGCTGAGAGTGTTGCCTGTGAGAGCTGGGAGTGTTGTCTGTGAGAGCTGGGAGTGTTGTCTGTGAGAGCTGGGAGTGTTGTCTGTGAGAGCTGGGAGTGTTGCCTGTGAGGGGGCGAGGGTGTTGCCTGTGAGAGCTGGGAGTGTTGCCTGTGAGAGCCGAGTAAGGCCTATAAGAGCTGGGAGGCGGATCGTGAGAGCTGGGAGTTTTGACTGTGAGAGCTGGGAGTGCTTGACTGGTGAGAGCTGGGAGTGTTGACTGTATGACAAGCTGACTGCATGAGCTGGAGGCGTTTATAAGAGCTGGAGTGTTGACTGTGAGAGCTGGGAGTTTGACTGTGAGAGCTGGGAGTGCTGACTGTGAGAGCTGGGAGGTTGGATCAGTGAGCTGGGAGTGTTGGATTGCAAGAGCTGGGAGTGCTGGGCCTGTAAGAGCTGGGAGGTTGACTGCAGAGCTGGGAGGTTGCCTGTGAGGGGGCGAGGGCAGGCCCTGTAAGAGTTGGGAGTGTTGACTGCAGAACTGGGAGTGTTGCCTGTGAGAGCTGGGAGGTTGCCTGTAAGAGCTGGGAGGTTGCCCAGGTGAGCTGGGAGGTTGACCCAGAGAGCTGGGAGTGTTGACTGTGAGAGCTGGGAGTTTTGACTGGTGAGAGCTGGGAGTGTTGATCAGAGAACTGGGAGTGCTGACTGGTAAGAGCTGGGAGTGTTGCCTATAAGAGCTGGGAGGTTGACTGCAGAGAAGCTGGGAGTGTTGACTGTGAGAGCTGGGAGTGTTGACTGTGAGAGCTGGGAGTGTTGACTGCGAGAGCTGGGAGTGTTGACTGTGAGAGCTGGGAGTGTTGCCTTTTAAGAGCTGGGAGTGTTGGCTGTGAGAGCTACATATGTTGTCTTAAGAGGACCCAAGATTTGCCAAAGAGAGCCTTGAGTGTTACCATGTTAAGTCCTGCTGTATTGTCTTGGAAGGATTAAATCTGTTATCCTCAAGTTGTTAATCTGTCGTTTCCAGGAGACTAATCTGTCATACTCCAGGTCTCGGTAAGGATTTAGTGGAGGTAAACTTTCGATCTTCAGGAGGATTTATTGAAGGTAAACTACAGGTCTTGGTGAAGATTTAGTGGATGTTAACTACAGATCCTTGTGATAATTTATTGAAGGGAAAATTTAGGTCTTGGTGATGAGTAAACCTCTTACTGGACTGTAGAATATACTCAGTCTATATATTTGTTCTACATTCAAACAGACGCATTCCTTTATAGCCAACAACACGAATATAATCTTCTTGAAAACAAATTCTCACATTGCAAGTTCCAAATGGATTCTAACGAGTTGTTGAAATTGTTAATTATTACTAGAATGACTCTCATCTATCCTGGGTAAACCTTTGAGTCCCGGAGGGTTAAATAAGTGTCCTTAAAGGGTTAAACCAACGTCATCAATGGGTTAAGCCATCATCCTCAAAGGGTTAAACCATCATTCTCAAAGGGTTAAACCATCATCTTCAAAGGGTTAAAACATCGTCATCAAAGGGTTAAAATAAAAGACATTTAAATATACTTATTGTATATCAATCTTAAATAATCCCTAAATGATTCGTGATGGCAAAATTCTATTCAACAAACTCCTTATTCAATGCATCTGATTCAACACTACTTAAGCCTACGAGTCTACAACCTGTAATACCAACATTATTAAATATGTACAGTCACTCAAAAAAAATCTATACAAAATTATATTGAACAAATATGACACGACGGGCGAAGGATTTTGACAACCCTACCGAGACAACAGGAGTCACAGTGTTCATTCTGAAATTCATCGATCACCCCAAGTACAGATATTTTTTTTGACCGACTGTACTTCACTAAACAATACCGGACATTTGTTTGTAAATATCTCGCGAAAAACTCTTGACGAAATCGGCTTTTATTGGGTATATATTATATTTTTTTCCTGAAATATACGGAATTACAGTAAGTTAAAGCAACGAGAGAACAACAGTAGAGTTATTTATTGGTGGCATTATCTCTCTCTCTCTCTCTCTCTCTCTCTCTCTCTCTCTCTCTCTCTCTCTCCTCACCCTTCTTCCCGTATGATCACGTTACTCTATCATCACCAGATCCTCTTCACCAAAACACTCACTCCCTCCTTCACCTTGTCTGCCCCAACTTATTCTCGTCTTTATTATTATTTTTTACACTTTGGTGGTTTATCTCGTGGTTTGTTGTTTAGTGGTGAATCTCTCTCTCTCTCTCTCTCTCTCTCTCTCTCTCTCTCTCTCTCCTGTGTTATCTATCTGGTTCTCTCTCTACTATCTATTCTTGCCCTCTTAATCTCTATTCTCTTCTCATTTCTCCTCTCCATCTCTCTCTCTCTCTCTCTCTCTCTCTCTCTCCTCACCTTCTTCCTCATATGACTCTCTCTCCATCTCTCTCTCTCTCTCTCTCTCTCTCCTCACCCCTTCTTCCTGCATGACTCTCTCTCTCTCTCCTGTGTTATCTATCTGGTTCTCTCTCTCTCTACTATCTATCCTTGCTCCTCTTGCATCTCATTCTTTCTCATTTTCCTCCATCTCTCTCTCTTCTCTTTTATCTATCTCGTCCCTCTTGTATCTCTCTCTCTCTCTCTCTCTCTCTCTCTCTCTCTCTCTCTCCTTCTCCTTCTCCTTCTCCTTCTCTCTCTCTCTTATCTATCTCGTCCTCCCTTGTATACCATTCTTTCTCATTTCTCTCTCTCTCTCTCCCCACAAACTCTTCTCCATATCACAATAAGACACAAATGAACCTCACTCCACCAAGGTCCCTCCATGGTAACAAACCCCAGATGATAAAATACTCTGAGCATGAGACAATATTGCTGTCAGTTTATACCAGTAAAGTGGCGACGGGGGGAAATATAAGGACATCTTATTCACAGCATCCTTAATAGTGTGTGGAGACAGCTGTTACCTGGCTGTGTTACCTGTGTGTTATCTGTTTAATTATATTCAGTCTTTGTTCAGGTGTCTTTCATTATATACCTTTGTGTTTCCCGTGGTTTCCTTGTCCCCTTATTGTTGTTGTTTTTGTTTTGTTGTTGCGGCTTTGTTTGTTGTGGTTATTATTATTATTATTATTATTATTATTATTATTATTATTAGTAGTAGTAGTAGTAGTAGTAGTAGTAGTAGTAGTAGTTGTAGTAGTGGTAGTAGTAGTAGTATCATCTTAAATATTTTCAGTTTTAGTAATATAATAATTATCAATATCATTATTTAATTAAACACATAATCCATAATGTTAAACTGACTTAAGGTTCATTAGGTCAAATATGTTCACCGATACTGAGGAGGACTAAACCAGGTGAATCGTCACAGCCAATACCACAAGTCCCAGGAGGTAGTGGTGGTGGTGTGGGAGGACACAGAGACAAGGGTTAGATACGTGACTTGTGGTGTATGTCGAGGTGATCAATTCTCCTCCTCTTAAAAATGTCTAAAATAATTATATATCTTGGGTTAGGGAAGTGGCATAAGGGGTTAGGGATTTGTTGAGCTGTGTTTATTGATTCGAAGCCGCGGGTTCACGTATTTGAAGTTGCAGGTTCACTTATTTGAAGCTGCGGGTTCAATGATTCGAAGCTGCGGGTTCATTGATTCGAAGACGTTCACTGACTCTTGCACACGTTTACAACCTTTCGGAAGCGTTCACTAAATCTCTGCTGCGTTAACTGACTCCCCAATACCAGACGGACGTTCATACATACCAAAATATATCGGTACACGAGAAAGTCTTATATCATCAGTAGTACCCAGTTTGGTTTATGCCTTCGTGTACCTTACTTTCGTCGCCACCTTCAGGAGAGAAACTCAAATTGGAATTCTTTCTACACAACCAAACTTTATACTCGAGTGATGTTCTTGCCTCAGTGAGTTTCGGTGCTTCAACTCTTTGGGTTTTACTACATTTTTCAATAAGTTATTTTCATACGAGATAACAGAAATAAAAGGAAAATCGGAATTATCATGAAACAGAAAACGAGAAATCGGATATAAAAATCGGACGTAATAACACAAATAAAAAACACATCTGATTTATTTATGATACAAAACGAATATTCGGATAAAATCGGATACCTTGACTTAACCATCAACAGAAAAAAATATATATATATGCATCTGACATTTATCAACAAAACACAACTATACAAAAATTCTGACACACTGCACATAAGACAAAGGTAAACACAACCTCACTCTGACATACCTACGATGTTGAGTCTGACAGAGAGGACTTTAGGGGGGTGAGTGGAAACCTGACACTCATACGTGCCCTGGTCCCGTCTCTGTGTGTACTTGATCTGAAGTTTCCAGTTGTTTGGGTGTTCGAAGCTCAGGGAGTATCTGGAGAGAGAGAGAAAGAGACTTTACTGAGTGTCTGAAAGTAAATACACGAGAATTGTTGAGGGAGGGAGGGAGAGAAAGGGGAAGGGAGGGAGAGAGGGGAAGGGAGGGGGAGGGAGAGAGAGAGAAGGGAAGGAAGGGGAGGAGGGAGAGGAAGGGAAGGGAGGAGAGAGAGAACGGGGAAGGAGGGAGAGAGAGAACAGGGAGAGAGAGAAGGGAAGGGAGAGGAGAAGGGAAGGGAGGGAGAGAGAGAGAACGGGGAAGGGAGGGAGAGAGAGAAGGGAAGGGAGGAGAGAGAGAAGGGGAAGGGGAAGGGAGAGAGAGAACGGGGAAGGGAGGGAGAGAGAGAACAGGGAAGGGGAGGGAGGGAGAGAACGGGGAAGGGAAGGGAGGGAGAGAAGGGGAAGGGAGGGAGGGAGAGAACGGGGAAGGGGAGGGGAGAGAGGAGAACAGGGAAGGGAGGGAGGGAGAGAACGGGGAAGGGAGGGAGAGAGAGAGAACGGGGAAGGGAGGGAGAGAGAGAAGGGGAAGGGAGGGAGGGAGAGAACGGGAAGGGAGGGAGAGAGAGAAGGGAAGGGGAAGGGAGAGAGAGAACGGGGAAGGGAGGGAGAGAGAGAACGGGGAAGGGAGGGAGAGAGAGAACAGGGGGGAAGGGAGGGAGAGAGAGAACAGAGAGAAGGGAGGAGAGAGAAGGGGAGAAGAGAGAGAAGGGAAGGGAGAGAGAGGGGAAGAGGGAGAGAGAGAAGGGAAGGGAGGAGGGAGAGAACGGGGAAGGGAGGAGAGAGAGAAGGAAGGGAGGGAGGAGAGAACGGGGAAGGAGGGAGAGAGAGAGAACGAGAGAGAAGGGAAGGAGGAGGGAGAGAAGGGAGGGAGGGAGGAACGTGGAGGGAAGGGAGGGAGGGAGGAGAGAGAGAACGAGGAAGGAGAAGGAGGGAAGAGAGAAAATGGGTGTGTGAAGGCTACAATCAAACACACAGACAGACAGACTACTAGATATATACCCCCAACAGAGTAAGCTTCACAACCATAAGCTATACAATGGTCAAACTTTTCGTATATTTTCAACTTTTTCATATATTTTATTTACCCTTGAAGGATCTTGCTGGGTAGAGAGGCGTAACCCAGATTCTGTCTCTCTCTCTCTCCCCCGCCCGCGACATAATCACCCTCATTACCACATGTCATACGGCTCATTACCTCAGCCCGACTAGCAAACACCTCATCAAGATCTCATACATCACAGATATGACCTTCTTCTTCTCAGCTAAGTTCTCTATCTCTCGGGTCTTACTGCTGTAGGAGAATGAAACCCATTGCCGGAAAACTATGTTACTTTTTACCCACACACACATATTCTCTCTCTCTCTCTCTCTCTCTCCATTATATACCATTATTTCTCCATGTTCTCTGCTTTAATTGACATTCTCTCTTATTTCTTCATTCACTGACAATTTTCTCTCCCTTCCTTCCCTCTCACTACTACATAATGTCTTTTTTTGTCTATCTTAGTATCCCCCCTCCCTCTTGGTGTCTCTTTGTCTCTCTATCTCATTTTCTCTCTCTCTCTTCCTGTACACCACAACATGAGTCAGGGAGAAGAAAGAAAGATATGAATGGGAGTTTTATATTCCCTTTACTTTCTCTCTTCCCTCCCTCCTCCCTCCCTCCCTCCTTCCTCCCTCACTCCCTCCTCCCTCCCTCCCTCCACCCTCCCTCCCCTCCTCCCCCCTCCCTCCCTCTGTGTATATCTCACCTGGCGTCATTACTGTAGGTGTGGAGGCCCCAGGTGAGCAGTTTAATCTTGCTACCATCTCGCCTCACCCACGACACCTGTAAAGATAAGAACATTGTGAGAAAGGTTTAAAGACAAGACAGATAGACGGTGATAGAGAGAGAGATAGAGGGTGATAGAGAGAGAGATAGAGGGAGATAGATATGTAACGGTAAGAGATAGAGTGAGAGAGATAGAGATAAATAGAGCGAGGGAGAGAGAGATAGAGAGATACTGAGAGATAGACATAAGTAGATAGAGGAATATGAAAGATACACAAACATATATAAAAACATCAACAAAACAATGTTACCAACCTGCAAGAAACACAAAACGTAAATAAACAAAAAACAGTGTTACCAACCACAGAAAAAAAAAAATATTCAGGTAAAAAAAAAGAAAAAAAAGTCTTAACTAAAAAACTAAAAAAAACTTTCTAATGTAAACAATAAGAGAGTTTGACAGCTTATGATAAATTGTTTACACTTACCGTCTTGTCTCGAAGTCTATTGACCCTACAGTTCAGATAAGCTGTAGAGCCAAGTTGAGCTGTGATGTTGGTAGTGTTGTCATAATCCTGGAAGTACGGCGTCAGTTCGTGCTGGTCGCCGTGCAGTGCGTGGTCGTACCTGTTCCCGTGCCAGGTGAGTGAGTGAGAGAGAGACAGAAAGAGATATATTACCTGAGGCATTAGTTAATTAGTTTGTTTACCTGTGATGGGATTGGTTTATTGATCAAGTGTAAGTTGATTGAGGCTTTATGTGGGACGGAACTAATGATGAGAGAGAGAGAGAGAGAGAGAGAGAGAGAGAGAGAGAGAGAGAGAGAGAGAGATAATCTTAAAGCATGAGAAAGAAAGAGACATACAAACAGACAGACAGATACATAGGCAAAAAGACAGAGAGACAGATTAACAGACAAACACAGACAGACAACCAGAATTGTGAGTATGAAATTATGAATAATCAAATCACTCCGGCGGGGGACAAACACCAATTAAACTTAGCTTTCAGTCCAACATTGTAAACTGATTTGAAATGTTTCACCTGTCATCACGTTAATTATACAGAATATGTGTTACAGGTATGGTCTTAACCTAGCCTTACCTAACCTGACCTGATCTAACCTAACCTGACCTGACCTGACCTGACCTAACCTAACCTAACCTAACTGTAAATTAAATAAAATTACAACACCTTCATTCAACATTTCGATTCCATTCTCAAAAAACTAACTTTCTCACAATCCCATCCTCCAAAAACTAACTATCTCACAACCCCAGCCTCCAAAACTAACTTTCTCACAACCCCATCCTCCAAAAGCTAACTTTCTCACAACCCCAGCCTCCAAAAACTAACTTTCCACCATCTTAAAGATACATCATTATAACTCCCAAACACGAAGGCATTTGTAAACTATAACTTCCTGTGTAAACAATGGCACTGAGGCAATGTTCTTCCCACCTCGACTTATGAAAACTAAATCTCATTCTTCCTGGACGCTTCAGAGAAACAGTGAGAAGAATACTGCCTATTTTTTCTCTCCTCTGGTGTTCATAGCTGCCTTGTAAACAAACTTCAAAACAAACTTACAGTCTTGAAGCCAAAAAGAAAGTGGGAAGAGTTGTAAAAGAAAACGGGGAGTGGTTTACGCGTGGTTGTTAAGTGGTTTTGTGTGTAAGTCAGTCAAATCGAGAGAAACTAGATCACGTAAGGGTTAGACATTTTAGTTTATTTCAAATGATTAACACCCTAACCTAACCTAACCTAACCTAACCTAACCTAACCTAATTTATCTCATCTCACCTCGCCAGATAACGTTAGGGTGTATAATTATCAAACTAAATGAGCTATGGTGTCTATAATCTTGACGTGAACAGAAAAATGCCAGAATAACCACATCATCATCATCATCATCATCATTGAAGGAGAACAATATTGAGAGAATGAAGAGAACATTTACTATCTCTCTGTTCTCCACGACTTTTTTCTCTCAATCACCAAAGTCATTAAAACTGTTCAGTGATTGATCTAGTTATCAGCTAATAAAAAGAAAAAAAAATCGACCCAGTGAGATGCATAGAAAGTATTCAGTAACCAGTTTGCATTTGTCACCGAGCGAATATCAACTTTAATTCAGAAATATCAGGAATAAAAATCAGTGAACGGTCTACCCATACACGACCAGACTGGCTGTCAGTGACCAAATTAAAGTCAGCCAAACGGAGAAACAACTGAGCCAGGTCCGCTGTGTGTGTGTGTGAACGAGAGGTGGCCTTCGGCGTGTTTTCAGCATGATGTATGACTGAGTTAGCCAAAGCAACAATAATTCATCGTTAATGGCGTATAATTTGCTCAGTTCGCTAAGTGGCGCAACGTGGGTCTGGCTAAACTTACTAACAACGGCGAGTGGGAGAGAAAGCGATTTTTAACTAGCTTACCCCACCAAGTTGATCATGATAGCATGTTTTGGTCTCTCTCTCTCTCTCTCTCTCTCTCTCTCTCTCTCTCTCTCTCTCTCTCTCTCTCTCTCTTCTCCCAGGAAACAATAGAACTTAAGAAAGAGTTCACTCGGCTGTGTATTCAGAGTGTGAAGTCTTTGTTTTCTCACTAAACTGAATTATGGAGTTTATTGTCCTAGGGGAAAAAAAAATATAGTGACTGAGGAATAACATTGTAATGAGGTGTAGATTATGTGTTCGACTTTCAATACGATGTTCAAAATCTTATACGTTGATTTTTTATTTTGATGAGCAATTAGAGTTGTGATGATGAAGTTAATTTATATTACTTGATTATGATAATGATTTAGTTAGATAAAGGCGGAGTTTTATTTGTAATCATTGTCATAATACTTTTTCTTTTTTCTCTATTCTCTCTTTCGCTTTCTCTTTTTCTTCTTCTTCTCTCTTTTTTTTTATTCCTTCGGCTTTTTTATCCAGTTCTATCTTTGTTACTCCCTCTCATTCTTTCTTCTGTCTTTCCTGTACCCCCTCTCTCCCTCTCCCTCTTTCCCTCTCTCCTTTCTCCCTCTCCTTCTCCCTCTCCATCTCTCTCCTCCTCTCCTTTATCTCCGTCCTCCTCACCTCAAGCAGCGGCAGTAGAGTGTGTTTAAGAAAAAGTTTACAACCAATTATTTATGGTCTCTCTCTCTCTCTCTCTCTCTCTCTCTCTCTCTCTCTCTCTCTCTCTCTCTCTCTCTCTCTCTCTCTCTCTCTCTCTCTCTCTCTCTCTCTCTCTCTCTCTCTCTCTCCTCTCCGTCTTCTCTTCTCATTTTTAACCTCCTTCGTTCTTATCTTTAGCCTTTCCGAAATATTTCTAAGCTCGTGACCCGGTCCTACCTCCTCCCCCCTCCTTCCCTCCCTCCTCCCTCCTTCTCTCCTTCCCTCCCTCCCTCCCTTCTTCCTCACGTTTCTTCCCTCCTTTCCTTCATACCCGTTCTACGTTTTGCTCCTCCTCTCTCCTCCTCGTTTCCTCCCTCCCTACATTCCTCCTCCTTCGCTCTCTGTGCCTCCCTCTTATCCTCCTCTCTTTCCTTCCTCAGGCATCCTTCTATTCGTGAAGAGGGAAGGTTGCTTACAAGATGTCTGTATTTTCTCTCTCTCTCTCTCTCTCTCTCTCTCTCTCTCTCTCTCTCTCTCTCTCTCTCTCTCTCTCTCTCTCTCTCTCTCCTCTCTCTCTCTCTCTTGTGAAGCTTAAAATACAATGCTCATATTTCTCACAGGTTATTTTTTTTGTGTCTCTTATGATATTAATAATTCTAACTCAAAATACCAACCCCCCCCCAAAAAAAAAACAATTATTTTTTTCAAGCGTGAGGTAAGCTTCTTGAAAGTTTGAAGCTTGGAGGAAAAAATATTACACACTCGCATAGTAAATATGTTAATCAGCTTAAGGGTAAAAAACAAAACTTTACTTAAGGAGAGTCAGTGTGTCAGGAGAGTCAGTGTGTCAGGAGAGTCAGTGTGTCAGGAGAGTCAGTGTATCAGGAGAGTCAGTGTGTCAGGAGAGTCAGTGTATCAGGAGAGTCAGTGTATCAGGAGAGTCAGTGTATCAGGAGAGTCAGTGTATCAGGAGAGTCAGTGTATCAGGAGAGTCAGTGTCTCAGGAGAGTCAGTGTATCAGGAGAGTCAGTGTCTCAGGAGAGTCAGTGTCTCAGGAGAGTCAGTGTCTCAGGAGAGTCAGTGTCTCAGGAGAGTCAGTGTGTCAGGAGAGTCAGTGTGTCAGGAGAGTCAGTGTATCAGGAGAGTCAGTGTGTCAGGAGAGTCAGTGTGTCAGGAGAGTCAGTGTATCAGGAGAGTCAGTGTGTCAGGAGAGTCAGTGTGTCAGGAGAGTCAGTGTGTCAGGAGAGTCAGTGTGTCAGGAGATTCGGTGTGTCAGGAGAGTCAGTGTGTCCAGGAGAGTCAGTACTCAGGAGAGTCAGTGTGTCAGGAGAGTCAGTGTAGGGAGACGTCAGTGTATAAGGAGAGTCAGTGTATCCAGGAGAATCAGTGTCAGGAGGTCAGTGTATCAGGAGAGTCAGTGTGTCAGGAGAGTCAGTGTGTCAGGAGAGTCAGTGTATCAGTCAGTGAGAGAGTCAGTGTATCAGTCGAGAGTCAGTGTGTCAGGAGAGTCAGTGTAGGAGATCAGTGAGTCAGTGTATCAGGAGAAGTCAGTGTATCAGGAGAGTCAGTGTGTCAGGAGAGTCAGTGTATCAGGAGAGTCAGGTGTCAGGAAGTCGAGGTATGGGAGAGTCAGTGTTCAGAGAGTCAGTGTATCAGGAGAGTCAGTGTGTCAGGAGAGTCAGTGTGTCAGGAGAGTCAGTGTATCAGGAGAGTCAGTGTATCAGGAGAGTCAGTGTGTCAGGAGAGTCAGTGTATCAGGAGAGTCAGTGTATCAGGAGAGTCAGTGTATCAGGAGAGTCAGTGTGTCAGGAGAGTCAGTGTGTCAGGAGAGTCAGTGTATCAGGAGAGTCAGTGTATCAGGAGAGTCAGTGTGTCAGGAGAGTCAGTGTATCAGGAGAGTCAGTGTATCAGGAGAGTCAGTGTGTCAGGAGACGTCAGGCAGAACATGACTCCATTAAAACGTAAAAAAAAAATGAAACAGTTCACTAAATCATCCCTCTAGTGACGTCATCAACGACCTCTGACCTTTACTAATAAGGTCACCCAAATAATGCTGTCATACATAATTAGTCTAATATACACTGGAAGAAATTTTTTGGGGAGGGCTCTAATGAGGAGTGATTTTTACTGTGGAAATGTTGAATAAAAAAGAAATGTATTGGGTCTCTGGTCACTATACTAACACAATAATGATGTTTATGGTGTCTGGTTATTGTGTTTGTAGTGTTGTTATATTGTTAGGTACCTTTACTGTTGAGGAAATGAAGGATGTCATGTGCAGTGCCTCGGCCATATTGTCTCATTGTGTAGGGAACCACTATAAGGTCTATTTTTTTTACTCCCTCGTTCCACCCTCCGTTATTTATGTCCTCCCCTCCCTTCTCCTCTCCCCCTTCTCTCTCTCCCCACCTCATCATCATACCCTCTCTCTCCTCCCCTCCCCTCCCTCTTCTCCCCCCTGCTCTCCCCTCCCTCACCCTTGGCCGTCATTCACATTTCATGGCTTACGACATTTTTTTTTGTGTCCAAACTCTTCCA